GAGGTCCTTTGTTTTTTCCTTAACGACCTGCTTCCTTCTTATCTTCCTCCCTGAAGGGATCTCATAGACAAGATTCCTGGCTTTTGTCCTCTCTGCTTACGTGCCTGATTCATCTTTAGGTTGTGGCAGCTGCAGCCTAGTCTCACATCAGGCTACAAACTGGGAGACTGTGAGTTCTAGTCCTGCCTAGGAGAAGAGTTTATTAGTAGTTTATCTCATAAATGGAAGCTCAGTCTGGGCTGCAGAAAGCCCAAGAAGAAGAAATTCAAGATGTTCAGAGAAGCTTCCCTCTCAGTGAACTCATGAATACAAGCGAGCTGAGGTTCCTACTGAAATTTCCAAGGTCCTGTGTTCTTTATTGTCATATTAAAACTCCTGATTGAAGTCTGAGTGGTTCTGTCTTCGTTGATCGTTACTTGCAGTACCGGGCTTGGCAGGAGACAGCCGGCTCTGGGCTGGGGAACACATTTGAGGGCCTGTTGTGGGCATTCTCAGGGAAATATCTGTCAAGGGGTTGAAACAATTCTTAGAAATAAAACAGATGGTGGAGGCCAGTTATTTATTTTGCCTTTTAATTTAAAAAAAAAAACTCACCAGGCACATTGGCGTCTAAAAGTGCCATCTTGCTTATTTTTTCCAGGGGTTTGAAAAATCCCTCTCGGATCTTCTGCCTCCTTTTAAAGCAGGGCACAAATGGCCTTTCAAAATACTCTGCTGTGTTTTGAAAAACAGACAGGTGGAGAAATGCCGGGAGAATTTCTCAGGAGCAGGGTCCTCCCTCAGCAACACTGAAAAAGCCCCAGAGGAAGAGGTCCTTCTGGATCTCTCCCCTTGGAATAGAACAGAATCATGGGAAACCAGGTTAGTTGCAGACTGCTGGAGTCTGTGACTGCCCAGGGAAAGACCAGGCATTCATCTAACCCATCAGATAACCCCCTATCCTATATGGAACAAGCCCTGAAGGCCATATTTAAAGTTCTTTCATTGGCCGCTGGATGATTGACAGTGCGATTTGCAGTGTCAAGTTTGATCTGGATCAAAGTTTAGGGTAACGTTTGAATGACATTACAGGATGGTCAGCTGATTCATCAACCCACAGCCCACCTCTGAGCGCATCACTTTGCTTGGCCAGCTGGTTGACGGCTTTCATTTACGCCAAGAGGCTGGAGATCAGAAAATAAACAGAGAGCAGAATTTCTTTCTGAAAATGGTTTTAGAAGGGAACATAAGGCTGCAGTCAGCCTGGGAGGGGGTCTCAGCACTGGAAGAAGCCCCCAGCTGTTCCACTGCTGCTCCTGCCTTACTTGGGGATGGAAGCA